CGATTTGTTATTTTAAGAACTTCCATAAATTAGACGCGTATAAATCTTCATAATTGCTATTAGCTCGGCCGACTAGAATATAAACGAAACTCTTATTGCCGCCGACCATATTTAAAAGAGTCGCCATTAAATTATTACCACAATTATTTCCGGCACTCGAGACAACCAGGAACTTTTCAATTACAATTATTATCAACTGGAATTTATGATTATACGAAACATTCCCTTTTTTGTTCTTCTCATTCCTTCCGTTTCCATTTATTACACATACACACAAAATGTGTAATGTGTAATAAAATACATATATATGTACACTCGGTCCTCTTTTTATGCATACTCTTTTTCTATGTGGTTTTGAAGTTATGCGGTTTTTATTTCAAGAAGCATTTTTTTAATTAACTATTTTAGGCCATTTTGACACGTTTTGACACAAATTGGCAAACCATTTCATCGAAAAAGATGATAATTCTGAACGAGCATTCAAGTGTCAACGCGAGCTTCAGAATTGCATTACTGTATATCAGGAATTGTACAAAAAAAATAGCAAAGCCATTGCAAAGTTTAATCACTGATTATATTGTCGAAGGGGAAAAATCAACATGCGAAGTTGAGACTAATTTTACTTGTGAAGAATATCTTCAGGACATAGATCTGATAGATCCGAACACTCTCATAGCGACGATAATTCTAAAGAACAAAAATGTGAAGAAAGATTAACTTTCATAAACATTTTCTGTATTTTTTTTGTAAAACTTTTCCGTATAAATTTAGAAGGAATATATTAAGATTATATTTTTCTGAAATTTAATAAACTTGTCTATGATTGTTAACGTTTTTATAAAATTATAAATAAACATTTCAGAAAGAATATAGTAAGACTAATTATTTTTTTGAAATTTAATAAACCCTTTTTTATACGATTTTCGGTATATTGCAACTCATTTATTTAGTTTTATCCGGTTTTAAAAAATTATGGAACGTGTCCTTTATTTTTATACGTGTATCTAGTCCTTTTTTGTGCGATTTATTTTTATGCGTTTTCCTGTGGAACGTATCTACCGCATAAAAGGAGAAGCAAATGTATATAAACAAAATTATGAAGCCAACAAAATAAATTTTAAATAACAGAACCATACACAGTATTAACTATTTCAGGAAAACTGGTTACTGCTGCTAACCACAAATTTAAAATTCATTTTCAAAGTTGCTTCAAGTTTCTAGTAAATATCATTTTGGAATATATGTTGCCTATGTATCTAAAGATAAGTAGCATTATATAATCTCTCATATTTTCAAGAATAAATAAATTTATTTACATTTTATAAAACATGGTCTTTGTTGCTAACCATCAGGCAAATACGGTTTTTTTTTATTTGTCGGAGTGACAAACATTTTTTCATTCTGTGTGCATAATTTTCAATAAAATACAGTACACATTGTTTTTATCCTTGAATAAAAAGTGAACTATTGAAGAATTAGAAAACATGACGATGTATATGCCATTATTCGGTATTCCAAGTGCTAACCACATCCTGGAGGATAATCAGGACATTCTATTCACATTTTCTTACCATAATTTTATTTAAACATTTATTTGTTAATAATTTTTAGAAATGAAAAATTGTAAAGTTATTTTTTTGTAATTCTGTCCTCAAAGGGTGAATCAGTAAAACACGGTGAATGCAATTTTCATATACAAGATTAATTTAGATTGGTTTAACTTAAGTTAGGATATATATGATATTAGTTTAAAAAGTAAATAATCTAAGATTTATAGTATTTTTTCTAATGTTATATTAGTATAGCTTCACTCTTCTCTTATTTGTTTAAGTTAGATTACAACTGACTGTACTTCAAAAATAATATATAACCTGAGATTAAGTTATAAAAAAGAGCTATATAGAAAACTAGCAAACATGAATTGAAAGCATATTTTCTCACGCTATTCTAGTAAAATCAATCCATTTTGAACTTTCGAGTACAATATTACCTACGGTGGCAATCGCAAGCCCGACAACCGAAATCCCGTCGTTCGAAATCCCGATAATCTAAAACTTAATAAGATTATTAATTGTTGTTATTTATTATTAATAACATAAACTAATTTTATTATAGAATATTTCTTATTCTTAAGTTTTATAATTAATAAGTCAACGAAAAAAAAAACAATAATAATTAATATTATTTATTGTTATGAAGAATAAATAACAACAATTAATAATCGGGCAAAAGAGCAATTAAAAATATTTTTTTCAGTATCCGTCGTATTAAAATATAGTAGAATAATTTAAATGTTATTGTAGAAATTATAATGATAAAACGCACTGTCGGGATTTCGATATACTCGGGATTTCGAACGTCGATCTTTCGATAATAGGTAATAGGATCTATTACCTATTATGCAAAGTTCAGAAACATCATTTTCTTTGACATTAAGTTTCTATAACATAGATGATTTTTAAGTCATATTTCTAAATATATTACTGAAGTAATTGATTATAAATAATGTTTAATGTTTAATGTTTGGATTATGTTATGTATTTATAATAATTGTATTATCAAATGAAACATTTCTGTTTTTCCATTTTTTACATTCGTTTATTATACACCACTCACGCATTATATATCATGACCCGGGGCGGATGCAAAATTTTACTAATTCATAAAATCCGATTACAATTTATACATATATATATATGCACGATAGAATTATGAAGCCAATAAAATGGATTTAAAAGAGCAAAGCCATTAACAGGACCTGCGAAAAAAAAATATATAAATAAAAAAAACAAACTGCGAATAGCAGATAGGCCGAGAGGTAACGTTTAGAGGTGGATCGATGCGTATTACTTATGTTATTAATCTGCGTTTATATCGAGTGGATTTCCATATATAAAATTTTAATCAAGTCATAACTCCTCGAAAAGTTGGCGTCCGTAAAACGCGCATTATGCGCACGGTTCCAGTAAACCCTCAACCCTGCCGCACGCTCACACACATAAGAGGGTAAAACTGGATCTCTTCTTAATCCGGCGCGATAAGCGGGGCCATTTTTCAACCTTGATTAAAACGGGGGGACGTGTCAAATTTACGTTCATTACGGGAGCCGAGTTTGGACACTTCGCTGGCTAGTTTTAAAAAGTAAGACAGCCAGTGTGCGAACTCCCTATATTAATTCCCTAATTAGTTCTGACTGCACGGAACTTTAAACTTCTTCCACTTCCTAAACTAATTACAAATATATACCTACCGCTCTCTCTTTCTCTTTCTTCTTGTTTCCTTCGTTTATTTTTATCTCTCTCTCTTTATTTAACCATCAATAAGACACATTTCGAAATTTGTATAATTCATCAAGATTGAAAATTATATTTTGCATTTTTTTATTATGATTACAGCCGCCAGCAAGATGTGTGTTTTGTAATAATTAGATGTATTTATCAGTAAAAATAACAACAGAAAAACAATATAGATTAAAGATATTTAACATAATTATATCAAAATTTAGAAACGATTCACTAAATCTAAAAGTCTACTAATATATCTATATTAGATATTGAAGATTCGGTCAATACAAAACAACAACATTTCCATACATCCACATTTTATTTTGAAGAAAACTAGGAAAGTCCCAATAATTCAAACAGGATTACTCCTTGTGTATCCCTGCAAATTGATCACATTATCCTTTCGTTCATTTGCTTTTTTTTTTCTCTCGTTTGTCTGTGTCAACTCGTCCTTCCCTTTTTGGACACGAGCCGGCCAGATTTCACGAGCGTTTTTTTTTAAAGTAAATTTATTCTCTCTCCCTTCTCATATTCTCATGGGAATACGAACTTTCTCTAACAAGTTACTTGTCCGTTCATGTACTTCAGTCCGGATCATTTTCTACGTGGAACGTGTAAAATTAGTGCTAGCTGTTGCTGTATCTATTCCTTATTTTATTTGTATTATTATGGCCCAATTTCTATTTACATTTCCGATTTAATTATTTGACTTTTTTTTAGTAAATCCTTAAGAGGATTAAAGTCATTGAAAATCGCCTTCATGGAGGACAATTACTAATTAGATAACTTCGTATTGATAGTGTCAAGATATAATTAACTGTGTAATTAGGAGCATTGGTAATTAGTGCAGCGTAACCGAAGGGATGATAAAACTTTAATGAAATTATATAGATGTGTGTGTTTAGTTGCTTTCGGTCGTAATAACATTTGTTATTCGTGCTCACATTTGCACACTACATACAGTTTTAAGCGAAGTGCAAATATATTCGGTATGCAGTAATGCGACATAAACATTACCTACGCCCCGGCTCGGTGATATATAATATCGCCACGAAAATAATAAAAACGCAGCGTTGATGATAATATCCATCGTAAAGATGATAAAACGGTGCCATTTATACCCTTACTCCTCTCTCTCTTGCTCATTCACCCTCTCTCGCACATACAGACACACTTTCCATCTCCTCTGGAGTGTTTCTGTTATGTGTGCGTATTTGTATACAGTTTTGTATGCGGAAGTTATATGGAGATATAAATCTGTTATATCATGACCACACCATTACTCCGAATCCTCTTTCTTCAGTCGACCGTGCTGGGAAGCCTCCTTCGATATTACTTTTTTTTATATAAATAAATATACATTTTTTTTAACATAAAGTAAATGAATAGAGTTGAAATGAAAATCAACGTTGTTTTATTATATTTTTTTGCATTTTATGCCTATCTGCATACATATGATATTATAAAAGAAGCGTTACCTTTTTTAGTTTTAAATAACTTTTAGATGAAACAATATAGATTTATATTTTTTTAATATAAATTTCGTAGTGATTGTAAGAAAATCTAATATCAATATTGGCCGTATGTGCAGAAAGTCGTTGGATGAAAGAATGGTTGGGGGTTGGATTGTATTGATTGGACCCAGAGTCCCTGAGCAATAGCGCTCCGCCAGTGATAATGAAATCCCTTTCTGAAAATTTATTTATTTAATTTCAGCTCTGTATTCGTCTCACGAGGACGGAGACGGACTCGGAACTGGGACGTCCAAGTTGCAATTTACCTTATCCCGAGGTGATTTGGCAGCGAAATTCGAATGCAAGGTGGAAAGCGAAGCCCTGGAGGAACCGATCATCACATGGTTGAGGGCCGACGTCCACGGTACGTTACATACAAATGCAATTCCACGTCCCCATAATGTACATATTATTAACACGTCTCCTTCGCGCAGTTAAACCGACGAAGATGGAGCTGATCGGACCGAAGAATCAGGTGGATCAGGGCAGCATCGTGTCTCTGGTTTGCAACGTCTTCGGGGCACGACCTCCGGCCGAAATAAAATGGTTCAACAATTCGGAGCCGATGGGCGAGTCACTGGTCGAGCAGAATCACCTGAAAACGGTAAGAGGAGAGATGCTCGCTTTTCTACCTTCTCGACCCTTTGCAGTGGGTATTTATTCCCTTCTCGACAGTCGGAAGGAGGGCGAGAGAAATAAAGAAAGTATGCTTTAGCCACGGGCCACTTGTGTGTCCAGAATATTAGGTGGGCCCGGATGCACATAATCCCTTAGCCCTGTAGCTTCTAAACTCGAAATGCGATGTATCTTATATATCTATATATAAACACACATACACAGAGAAAAAGACGAGGGTTGGGGCGGAGTAGTTGTCTACTCTTTTCATTTCGCCTCCGGCAAACCTGGCTTTTATTACACCGAAGAATAACACAATTCACTTTATTAAAGTTAATTCCATTCCTACATGTTTAAGATGCGACCTCCATCCTTTCCTGCTTCCACACGCTAATGACGGGTGCATTTCCGTTCAAGATGCGATTATCCTCTCATACATTTTGGCTGCATTTAAATGCCGTTAATTGAAGCTTCTCATATCAAAATCCGTTCAATCCGTAAAGTGGTTCATTCACTTAACAGTTTATCTGTCAATTAACTTAATTCCATTCCTATCACAGAATCACATATTGTTGACAGATCATCATCAAGATTTGTTTGCAGTTCTCATCTCAAATTATATTTTATTAACATAGAAAACATTTGCAACAACTTTTCAGTTAATTGAATTTCACTTTATTTTCATTATTGATTGAAATAAATTTGCGATTAATTATAAATGATTATATAAATACACTGTTTATTTATAAAACAAATCCACTTTTAAACAACACGAAAACTTGTATTCATGCGAACTTCTCTTAAATCGATTTAATAAGCTTTACAACTTAGCTCGATCCTCCTTACATAACTAATTTTGCTTACATGAGGCTACGCTAAACCCCAATGCCATATAATCCAATATAGATACTTAAAACGCTATTTAATGATACTTCTGCAAATTGGAATTTGCAAAATTAGATTGCCCCCCTATCAATTCTAATTAATTTTCGAGTACCGTGGGAATTCGACGAACTGCGATTTTGTGTTTTTCTTCATCATTATTGTGTCTTCCATTTGAATTCGTCGACGCGTTTTATTCTTTATTGCTTCGTAGTCACGAACGCGTTAATAACTCCATAATAAACGGTAGAAACATGAATTTCGTTATATTTCATTATATATTTTGTATATACAGTGAAACCTCGCTTAACGAGTTTAATACGTTCAATACGTCATATTCAACAATACAGATAATAATATGTTGAGTCATTCTTCTTACAATTCATTTTGATCGTTAAACGAGGTTCCACTGTATGTGCAAAACTGAATAAATTGTAATTAAAACATAATTTAATTATATCAGTCTGATTCATTAGTAATTAATTATCATTATCCTAAATGTGTACATATATCAATAAATATATATTCTTTTTTACGCACGCCTACTAATGATAAACAGCCTTTTGTGACAAAAGTTTTACAAAATGTAAGTAAGAAATATTTACTATATCTTTAATAGATTTGCGTATTGTGAATTGTAAATGATTCGATTCGAGGAAATTCCTGGGATTGCATGTAATTTTTAAAACGTTATGTTGTTTTCCGTATGTCCATGAACAGACCGATGACACTTACACGACCCAGAGCATATTGAAGTTCAGAGCGAGTCGCTACGAGAATGGCAACGCTTTCCACTGTTATGCCGAGAATGCGGTAATACGAAGTCAGAAGGAGACATCCCTGCACGAGCTAACATTAGTCGAAGTTTACTGTAAGTCGAAATGCATTTCAAATTCTGAGCCCGCTCTAAACTGAGGACTGTTTCCTTTATTTTCTTTTTTTTTGGGTCGCAGATCCTCCGGTCGTTACGGTTTCACCAGAAAAGATTGTGACGAACGAAACGGCCGACATCCTCCTGCTCTGCTCATACGTATCCAATCCGATGAAATTAGATGGAGTAGTTTGGTGAGTCACATTTTATATTCAGATCCGTCGAATTGAAGGATAACCGCTTTTATTCTCTTTGTCCTTCTCCTTTTACTTAATCATCATCTGCATTTAGGGCGAAGAACGGCAAGAACATTACGCTGAACCAGGATAAGTACGATGGAGGAACCATCGAGAATCCGCCGCTTATTATAAAGAACGTGTCCAGGGAGGATATGGGAGAATATACGTGCACTTGCAAGAACGTCGTCGGTTCCGAGGAATCCGGACAATCACTTTACCTCGATGTAGAATGTATGTAGATCTTAAGCATTTTGCAACTATATTAATCATTTGGATTTTCTCTGAAATTTGTTACTCTATAAGAGAAAATTACTTCTCTAGCAATAGTATCTTACACCCAAAGTCATATTATATAAACTGGATGTTTAATTATGCTTTGCAGATCCACCTAGCGTTGAGGTGATCATCACACCTTCGAACCCCGTGAAAGAAAGAGATCAGAGTGATGTGACCGTTGAATGCGAGGTGATCTCCGGTAATCCATCCAACCTGACAAGTGTTCGTTGGTACTTGGGTACGGATATGCTGATGCAACTTCCATATTGCAATTACACGTACAACGAGAACGGAGAGCCGATCGGAAACGGCGGCAAATTCTGCGACGTGAACGCAACTGTCTTGAGCTTGGAGAATGTAGCGCAAAGCATGGCCGGCAATTACACATGTCAAGGGATGAACGTAGCTGGCTGGGGTCCTGAATCCGAACCATCCGAGTTGATCGTCTATTATCCACCGTCGCCTGCCAAGCTGCGATTCATGCCCTCGAAAGTTATTAAAACTGCCGCAGTAACTCTCGAATGTTCCGTGGATAGTCCTGGAAGACCTGAGAATATCACTTACCTCTGGTACAGAGGCACTTACCAGGTGCCCGACATCACCACGCCAAATTGGACCATCACTCCGGTGCTCCTCGAAACCAAAAGCAATTTCACCTGCGCCGCAATCAACGAAGGCGGACAAAGCGAAAACGCCACAGTTTACATCGATGTTTCCGGTAGAACATCTTCACATAAAATACTTTGATTTTTAGTTACTACTTTCTTTTCCTCTTTGCTGCAGCTCCGCCCGCTTTCATCCAGAATTTGATTCCGTACCAAGGGGTGCTCATGAATCTCAAGAACATCTCTCTCACCTGTCGCGTCGAATGCTCCCCTCTTTGTGGAATCACCTGGTTCAAGGATGGTCACAAGTTGAATCTTCATAACAATCCACTGTACTACGAGACGAAAGCCAACTTCCCTCCAGATCTAAGGAAAAACGATTTTGAATCCGTTGAGTCAACATTGGTAAATATTAAAATTGAAAAAAAAAATGCAAAATTTGAAAACGATATGAATATTTTATAATTGTTTTTTTTTTAAGATATGGAATATGACCGCATGGCCTGGAGAGATGTTGGATAGAACAGCTCCTAACTCCAACTACACGTGCCAGAGTACACCGAACGGTATTGGACCTGGCGTGAATTCAACGATAGAAATCGCAGTTGATTGTTAGATATTCAAGCATCATCGAAATATGTACCATAATAATAATAATTTTCAATGTTTAGATCCGCCAGAAAACTTGACCGTCTCCAGCAAAGTTGTTTCCGTCATCGAGAACCACAAGCCCGACAAAGTGGTTTGTCAAGGTAAAGGTCATCCTACCCTGAACTACCTTTGGCGCAGAGATGGCACTACCGAACCCCTCTCCAAGACCAACATCTTGAACTTGGGCATAGTGCCAAGATCCGCTTCCGGCAAATACATCTGCGAAGCAAACAACAAGTACGGAACGGAAACTACAAACGTATACTTGAACGTTCAATGTAAGTTTATCAACTTCCCTAAAAAAAAGGAAAATATATATATATACAATTGTTCATTTCAGACGCACCGAGCTGTACGATCGAAACTGTTGAATACGATGGCGTGTCAACTTTGGAGTGCACTGCTCACGCCAATCCCCAAGATGTTACGTTCACGTGGAAGATCAAGGGCGACAACGATACATTGGAAGGGTCTTTGATGAGCCAGAAAGGCGTTAAAGGTTACCTGAAACTAGACCCCAACGTGGAATCTTTCAGAACTTACCAATGCTTCGTCAATAACTCCGTCGGAATAAGCGCCCCCTGCGAGAGGGACGTTACCGGTAAGTAGTTTAGAATTTAGCTATAGGCCCCTTATTCCTGATCTGTATAATTAAATGTTTTTTAACGTAGCTTACCAGGAGCAAAGTAGTCAAATTGGAGTACCAGGTAACGGAAATCATCAAAAAAGCGAGCAGCTGAATATATTTAAATCTCTTATTTACGCATGTTTTTATTTTATTTGTATCTACACGCGCGATCTTTTCTCCTGGAGATTATCTAGATCCATGCACCCTCTTGTCTTCTACATATTTCAGTTACCGATACACCCTATTTCTTATTTATTTTTTGTTTTCATTCACCGTTCTCTATTTTCCCCCATACGTTGAATTGTTTAAATCAATACTTTACTTTTATCGTTCAAGGTGTCGCTCCTTGGTGGAGGCAGCTGATCAACGAGAACCTGCTCATCCTGATCGCAATCATCGTAGGAATCATCGTCTTCGTTATCATCGTATGTATAATCATCATACTGGTCTGCAAGAGGAAACGCGCCAACAACAAATGTAAGTACACGATTAAGTGAAGTTAGGTGTGCATTGAGTGTGATACTAATGAATTTGCTTGACGATTTCCCTTTTTTGGCTTATGCAGACACTAATGCGGTCGAGATGGAAGAACGCGAAAAGTAAGTTTCACACGATTTCATTATTCATTATAAAAGCAATCGCTTCTGTGGTATAAGGTTATCGTTGTTTGTTTGTTCGTTTTATCATCGTATTACGTGGGTCTATTGTATCTGTATTTGATTTCTGCTTTAGGGCGTTGGTGATTTGCTATGAATACAAGATATATAATGCTGTGCAATAAAAACTGTGATATACATCTTAACGATTTGGTTTTATTCATTTTTGTTTTGGGTTTATTTTGGTCGCTCTGTTGTTGTTGATGTTGTTATTATTACTGCTGTTTGACGGCTTTTGTTCTTCCGTGTTTAGTTGCTTCTTACTTTATTTCTTTTCATACAACAAAAAAAAATATGTATTATACGAATGTGTATGTTTGAGTGCAGCAATTTTTTAATTTTCTTAAGGTAAGCTTTAGTAAACTAATCGCATACAAATATTCAATCCAGCAAGAGTATATTACTTATTGAATCATCTGTAATAGTTTAATTAATATCAAATTAACTGATCACGACTATAGGATTCAATTGGTAATACACAATAAAGTATCATGCACATTTTATGACTGTAAGTACATAGCCATACTAATTACATTTAGTTTAACCTGGTTGTGGTTATAGTGGTAGTCGTTTTATTTTCTTTATTTTTATTGTATCTTTTTTTTTTAATATCACATGTTAGTATTGCACATAGATCTATCTATTAACTAAGGGCATTTCAGAACATTCTTAGGCAATCTTTATTTTGTAACAAAAATTGGTTACAAATTTAATAACTTTTTTTTAAATTTATAATCTCAAAATTTAATTTTGCATTAAATTGAGTAAAATTTCTATCGTTTTGCACTGATGTAAAGAGCAACGGCATATAGAATGTATAAAGTAAAATAGAAAGTATTATAAAATAGTTGTAACAATTTCCAGAAATAATATTTAGTTTTCACCAATCAGAATAGCTTCATTTGTCTTAATAAAGCATTAAGTTAATCAATTAAATTATTGCAATTATAAATAATTAATTCGTTAATTAGATGGATATTATAAGATTTAAAGTAATAGTCTTGAATACATTTTCAGGTTTTAAATTATAAAATGTAATAAAAATAATTAATTGGAATTACAAAGAAAATTAATTGTTCTTGACTTACTTTTGAGATATTTGCAATAAGGATTTAAATTATGAAATATTATATTAAAAATTATTAATAATTTGCCTAAGAATTATAAGTGTAGTTAATGAATATAATAATCGTTTGGTATTTTTGAGCAGTTATTATTAAAAATAATAATAATAAATACTAACACAGTGCTGAAATGACTCCGTAGGTTCCTGTGCACTCAAAGTCCCGACGTGTTGGGACTTCCTCTCGTGCCTTGTGGTAGAGTAACGTATTTGGGTCATCCAGGTATACAAGAAAAATACTAAAAAACCTATTTCGCATGCAGTTTCAACATAGAACTATTAGTCTATTTACATTATTTATAATATTTTGCATAAGTTGTATAAAACTTATTTTCTCCCCTTACGTATATATTTATATATAATTTGACCTTATTTGTTTATTTTGTTTGTTTTTTTTTTTCTCGCTTTTTGTCTAAACCTTACGCTACTTGCTACGCCGTTTCGCCTCTGGCATAAACGTAGTCCTGACGGCCAATCTCCGGATACATCCGCAACGAAATGGCCCCTAAAGCCCGGCGTTTTGCTGCACGTCAATAAAATGCATAACTTCAATATGGGTCAATTAAAGACGGTCTCGTTGGGTTACAAGACGACATCCGTTGTCTCCATGGGGAACAGAACGCCTCTGTACAAGCGGAGCAAGAATAAAGTTTATGCCAGATTGGAACGGTTCAAGGAATTGCTAGGATTCGGGGATCGGGATTCCTCATTGCCGTTCGGCGTGTACAGGGGATCAGCCGGAGGTAAAATTTATATAGTTCACGCCAAATATTTCACACCACCTTAGATTGGGTGTGATGTTTCTTCGATTCCATCAACGGAAAGAAGACACCTTTTTCAGTAAACTAATTTTATTTCGTCCGCCCCCCCCCCAAGTTTTGCATGCTGTTTTTGTTTGTTTTTGTCACTTAGCTTGTTTTATATTTTATGTTGCATGGATTTAGTTGTGACGTTTAAAAAGTTCAAAGACACTGCGAGTCCGAGCGAATCAGGTGCTACCATGGTTTCGCGGAAAAGAAAGAAACCTGGCGATGGTACGTATACCTTTTTTTGCGTGCATCTTATCCAACTTTATATTCATTTAGTAAACACTTGATACTACTCTATTATCGTATGTTTGAGTTACAACTAGTCAGTATAAATTGTATATAATTGTTCATCAAGTGTTAAGCATTTTCATAACGTTTTGTGTCATCTGTTTCAGCACCAAACCCGTCCTCTATAGCAGATAAGGGGGGCTTGGGGGCTGCTCCACCGGGTGGAGGTTTAGCAGACCCCCTTACTGATCCAGATAAAGGTTTCTACGAAAATCTTCCCTTCCATGGTATGCAGAACCCACCAAACAAGGTACGCAATTTCAACTAAACCAAATCGCATGCTCGTTTTCGTTTTTTTTTTGTTTTTTCGTTTTCGTTTTCACTTTATTATTTCGCAGCCAATTTCTGTAATTTCGCCAATAGTTCAGGACGGTCCTAGCTCGCTTCAATACCAACGAAATCCCTCGAACTCAGCCACTACGGCTAGAATCCACCGTAACAAATCGTTCCACGGATTCGAGAATTACGGAGTGCAACCTCAAGTCTTCTACCCGTCCTATCCCAATCTGCAATTTATCCCATCCATATTCTATAATCTGCCTCGTAACTTTAACCAGCACACGGGAAGCTACACCGTCGGATCCATCCGCACCAATCCTCAGTTCAGCTACTGTAACCGAGTGCAGAGTTTCGGGAATCTTCCGTTTTACGCTAATCCCTTCATGATCACTAATCCTTACAATCAGCGAGTCGTGGGCCGCAGCGAGCACAGACTCGACGTAAGGCGCACAGCATCCGGCATCAATCTCTCCGCTCCCGAGCAAACACAAAGCACTCGAAATTCCATAAAGACCAAACCCAAACAATGCAAATCATCCAGCAAACGCTTCAACTCTTTGGATTTAAAGAAGCACAAATGTTACTCCCCGACTTTTTATTCCATGAGGTGCAAGAAACACGCCAAGAAACGCTCAATCATCTACGCCGTGCCGAAACACAAGCTTCAACCCGAATATCAAGACCTCTCAGATAGCATTCAATTTTTAGAAGAGAATCATAAAAATGCAATTAACGATACTCCGAAGCCCGCCCCGAGGTGTTCCAAGCACAACAAACAAGAAACCATCTACGCCAACGTATCTAAATCAATCAGTAACAATTCACAAGACCTCAATGAATCGAATAACAGTTGGGAAAATGCCGACCCCGAAATATCCACTACCCAAGTTTTAGTCCACGATAGCAGCGTTGCTCCAAATTTATCTGAAGTGAAAAATTGTGATCAGAAACCTAAAGCTATTTGTCGCCACGAGAAAAGCAAAGAAATCACAGCTTCCTTAAATGGAAGTTCCACTGATTTCAAATCGCTCAAGATAACCAAAGTTACTCCCATGCAGAAAGTTAGTCCGAACTGCATAAAACCAAAGACTGAAAGCCCCAAGGGCGCTTTACACATGCAGCTGCAAGCCAAAATGTTGGCCTCGGCTCGAAAGACCTTGAACAGCTCACCTCTAATGCTCAACAGCACAACGCTCATCCAAAAGGCCTTAAGCCAAACCTCTCTTAACCAAAGCAATACTTCGCTCGATAAAATCCCGTCCAGTCCGCAAACCAAACAACCCAACGAATCCGAAACCAAAGACCCGGAAAAACCGCTCAAGGATGTCCCCGAAATGCCGCTGCTGGAAACGCAAAAATGGAACACTCATAACACCACTAACAATAACAAAAAGGTTTGTTCGTTTTGCTTTTGATTATTTTTATTATTTTCCGCAGTTGCTTCTTCTATATTAGTTTTGAGTTAGTTTGATGTTTGTTTGTTGTTTGATTACTAATATATTAACCGATTTGCAGAATGCCTTTTATACATTAACAAATCCGCATTTGAAACAAATTTCGGGCGCAACCGATTTGCACCATCATCATCAATATTCGGCAACAATTCCCCATCAAAAACACATCAAGCTAATACCGAGGTCGCTGTTCCAAGACCAACAACAACAGCAGCATGAGCAGCAGCAGGTGAACAAGAGCAAATCGTTCTCTTCGCGAAGCAAACCGAAGAAGCATTTCCAAATACCGCTCCAAAAGTGTCACAGCTTCAAGTTCCAAACTGCCGAAAGTTACTTCCAACCCATCAAGAACATCCACGAGGAGAACTTCATGCGAAACGGGTACATTTCCGATTTGGGTCCGAACTACCCGGAGACCGAGGCCAGGCATCACCATCATCTTCATCATCATCACAGCAACAGCCATCAGCATTATCATAGCAGTAAACGCGACAAGCAGAAGTTGAACGGAGGTCCATTAGTGTTAAGGAGACCCGGAGATTATCACGAAAACGTCCAGTTCCCAGACAACGTATCGAAATCTGTGCAGCTGCAGTACCCGCAGCCGGTACTCGCCGCAAGAAACAGCACATCTTCATCCTCGACATCGGCAGCAGCAGCAGGTCCGAGGCCGAACGGCATCGTCTACGCAGATCTGGACATGTCCAAGCAAAGCAAAAAGTCGTGCAAAAAGGACGGCAAAAACACGCTACCGAAGACCCAGAAAGTTAAAACAAAGACTGAATATGCGACGTTACAATTTAACGATGTAGGACAGGAAATAGATGTTTAACAATTAGTTACGATTTTATACTACTAACACAACTTAGGAATATCAGGTTCGTCTCACACATCACACAATTACCAACAAAAATACTTACGCACTTACTCTCTCTCTTCTCTATTATTCTCACTAAATCTATTCTATTTTTGTGCGTGGAAAATTGCTCTCAAACACAGACAATTATTATTAAATCCGAAGCGAATATAGACAACTCATACGCAAATTTTGTTTTAGACAAATGGAGCACCGACAACCACTAGCGATACATATATTTTCTAAATAACACTAAGGTAAAACAATTGGATTTCTTTATTTGATTTGATTAATAGTTGTATGATTGGAGCAATTTTTTACCTCCCCCCCCCAATTCGCTGAGCTTCTAACAATTTCCTTTTGAAAACTCTACTCTCCTCTTAACCGCATCCCTCCGGAAAACACCCCTCTTTCATACAACTTCTCTCTTCCAGACTTGGCACAAGAAAATGTGAGCCGTTGAAGTTGCTTCCAAACCTTACACATCATTTAACTAACTCGCGTATACACGCTTATCAAAAAAATGCTACCACATTATTTATTTTCTTACACTTAAATAAAAGTCACACAAAATCACTCATTTCTTTTTTTTGTTTACTCTGTTTAAACTTAATTGTGCAAATTGTACAGTTACATTTATTATTGTTTAGAGTTAAAAAATTTTCAACTTAAACCAATCTATATGAAATCAATCAATCTATATGAAATTCAACTTAATTTTATACCAAATTCCTAAACCCTATCCAAACTAAATCAATATGCTGAAAGTAACGCTTTCCAACTAACTTAATGCAGGTTATTTACTTCAGTTATGAAAACATTATTAACATTTGTAGCTGTATCAATAAAATTTAAAAAAAACAAACATTTCATAAACTAACATATAACATAACATAAATCTTCTTTTGTATATAGATTAAGTATAGTTAATTATTTGAGATTCTTCGAACGAATTTAGTTGTGCTTCGATATAATTTTTCCGCAGTTCCAGCAGCAATTCACTAATTCTAAGTTCTCTTTCTCTCTTACAGCCATACCGTTCAGATTTTAGCGATTTAGACTACGCGGATGTCGATTACAGATCTTACGGGCCAATCAACTATAAAGCGGCGTCGATTTATGCTGCCATGAAGAGGAAAACCAAAAACGAAGATAAGGAATATGACGACCTACTTTAAGTGGATTTTTATTTTACGTCTTCAAACTACATATACATATATTTAGTTTTACGTGCACCCTTAGCTAAAAACCAATTTGGACAACAAATCAATATTGAACAACAAAAAGAATATTTAAAAAATATAATAGAAACAAACACATATAGTCCATTTTTATAAACAAAAAAAATAAGCAAAGATCGTTGAGCAATAGCTGACATTTATTTTTTATAAAAAAAAAAACAAATACGATTGGTTACACATGTTAGAAGAATGTTAATGGAAGTAAAAAAAAATAGTCTAAATCGAAATATTATAAAAACTTGTTTAGTCAATCGAATAATTTTGGCCAAAGAACTCGAAACCAAATGTTATTATTAATAATTCTCGAATTTGTTTATTCTCTTTAAGTATGCACTTAATTTAAGTTAATCGTTCAATTTTTAGCATTTAATATTGTTTTATGGATAATGTTTTTTTTTTCAATTTTTCCAAACGTTCGAAGGATTGAAAAGAAACCTAATCCAATTTTTTTTTTAAATCAATTACTGTATGAATCAGTTCTATTTCAATCCTATCAAACGTTTAAATTCGAAGGATTGAAAAGAAACTTAATTCATTTTTGTTTTAATCAATTGCTGTATGGATAGGTTTCATTGCAATCCTTTTAATTTGAAATATAATCCAAAATTATTTTGGATTTATTTTCTTGTAAATCGGTTTTTATTACAAATCTTTCAGAGAAAGTAAATCCAAATTTATTATCATATGGATCGGTTCTATTTCAACGTTTATATTCGAAGGATTGGAAGGAAACTCAATACCAAATGTATGTGAAATAAGTAAAGTGAAACCTATTACGTTTCGCTTTACTCATTCCTTTATTGTGTAGGCATTTCTGTGACGCATTCAATTAACACTTTTTTTTTGTATGTTTTGTTTAAAAGAACAGCGATCATAGATGAAAACCAAAGAGAGCGTTCTAACACCCACGAGTGCTTTTATTTATTTATTTATTTATTTTTTATTTGTATCTAATCAATAATCCTATAGGAAGCTTCATAATCACTGCGAAAACCATGCACATAACTGCTACTACTACAACTACTACCATCAACAACAACAACATTTATGTCAGGAACAGCAAAATACATTCACTCATTTTGTACGATCATCAAGTGGACCTCCGATTTTTAGTTTACTTTGAAGGATTTTTTTTAATTTGTGCCAAAGTAAATTAGTGTGAACTGTGACGTCCAAAAACCGAAAAGAAAAGAAGTTAAATGAACTTTAAACAAAAAATCTATATATATATTATTGTACATGTATATTTAAATGAGAACATTAAAATAGACAGTTTTTAATTTTATTTTTTTGGTGTGGTGCTGCGAATAAAATAACACATTAAAAAAAAAAGAATTATACAAGTTAATGTCGAACTTTCTCAACTATAAAATAATAACTATATACTAAAAATTTAAATAAAAATGAAGTAATATTTATTATTAAGTGTAAGGTTTAATATATATATATTATACAGATTAGAATGTTTAGTTCGAACTTAAATATCTCTGTACTATTGTAGATATTGTAAAATATAAATAAATAAAAGTTTCAATAAATATTCTCTTTACACAATTCACACACTCGCATCCAACAATTCTCTGTACCCAATTCCTATTTTACATATTTTCCTTCGTTCCATCCACGTTTTTTTTTAATGTAGATTTTCATTATTTAATTCAATGAATAACTATAGTAAATACACTTTGTTATACTGATTGTAGTTTTGATTTACATCAATATTATGATGAATTTTTAGTGTTAACATTTCTTGCTATTATGTAAAAAAAAAGGTATCAATTCTAGTTCATTTCGATGAGAGATAAATCACATATAAAATACTGATTGAATGGAAAAAAACATGTTTAAGTACAGTTTTTAGTAATTATTTTAGCAATATCTACAGTTAACAAAGTTATATTATTAAATTATGTAATTTTCCATTAAATTCAAGTTAAAGTTCTTAGAAAATCCATAACATTGAATCTTTTGACATTGGAAAAATTAATATGTTGAGTATTGATGAAATAGTTTTTGAGTAATTAATCTAAAAATAAACTATTTCTAAATGAATCTTCAATTTTTGTAATTTCTGTAACGATCTATAAGAAAATATGACTGCAATAAAGTATTGATGAATTTAATTTTGTTTATCAAAGTTGAACGAGTTGAACTATTTTGGAGGTAATCTAGCTAGTTGGAAATTTAATAATTGAGATGGTTATTAGACAAACGTCCGTCGGGTGAGACTGTAAACTCTGATAAACTCGTAAAAATTAATGGACTGCAAAGGCATTTTAACGTGCAGTAAATAAAGTTGGAACACAGAAAAAAAAAAAGAAGAGGAACGAAACAAAGCAGCGAATACCAGTTACAAAGTATTATCAAGCATAAAATGTAAGAGCTTAAACAGAAAATACGCAGAGTACATTAATTTAAATAACAATAAGAAAATTGAGATTTTGTAATAATTAAAAAAAAATACTGATAATTTAAATTTTTATTATAAATTTATAAGTTAAAAGCAGCAATTTTCAAGAACAATACTGATTTTTTTGTGTTGTTGCATAATGGAATCACGTTTAATAGAAAATTCATGTTTGTAAGGAATTCTGCTCGTATTGTATCATCGCACTCAGGTTTTTAATTAAAGGCTTTTAGAATCCGACGAACAATTAACAACAAATTCCTTTTCAAGTTGACACAACTACTTCTGCGTTAATTGTGTCTTCAAACTATCCGAAGCAGTTTCATTCATCTTTGTCCCGCATTCAAACTAAAACTCATATATTGCAGCAGCGTGCTGTGCATCACCAGAAACCCAAAGTTTCTCAAAACGTCACTATCGAAGTTCACTTTTTCTGTCATCAGTTTCATAAAAAAAGCGTTACAATTTTTTTTATTTTAAATATTTTTATATAACTTATTTTGTTAATAATTTTTAGTTACTATTGAAGCTTCATGTCTTCCTTAACAAAATTAGATAATATATGCAATAAGACCATCAAATGAAAAATGACGTAATCTTAAGACACAAGAATTGACAGTTAAACAAATTAGTAACGCTTCTTTTATGACACTTTATACTTGCATATTAATTCCATCTATATACATATTTTGTTGACTTATTGCTATGGTAACAGATGATATAAATAACTTGCAAATAAATAATTTTATCGAAATGTCAAAGATGTTAATAAAAATTCTAAATTATATATTCAAGATATTTAACTTGATTGTGGCGAGCTCAGATCTGAGACAAGAGGAGAAGAAACTGTTGCATTTCTCGTCGAGATTCATTGATAAATACACTCCGATTATCGTGAATGAGAATGAAATGCATTCAGATAATTATTTCAGTAACCTCATCACGCTGAGATTGACCAAATACATTTTCATCAATCACGTGGATAAAATATCGACGTATCAAGCAGATTTTATAAGGAAATTCAATAAGAATTTCATGGTTTACATATTGACAATAGATCTTCAAGAATCGAATCGGGGCGATGTTGTAAGTTTTTTTTTTATGTTATTATAACATAGTTGAAATGTTTTATAATTGTTTCATTAGACTAATGATAACGTTGAAAAGCCTTCGACTTCTGAGAAAACGTCAGAGTTGTTACCAGCAGATGGATCGTTTATTAATAAAGAGAAGAAACAGTCCAAGAGCAAAATACCTATTTCCACTCAATCCAGAACTATAAACGCTGCCAGTAAAGATAAAATGGTTAACAAACACAACAGTTTATTCAATTTAAGCCAAGTTAAGCCATTGAACAATTCAAGTTTTCTTGTAATTTGAATTGTTTATTTTTCTTTTGCAGCAGCAGCAGCAATGCGAAAGCTCCAAGCCTAGTAGCAAAGGCTACGATTTTCTTAAACGCGTCATGAAGTGGCCCAAATATAAAGTATCCAACACGTCCATGGATGAAATCTTCGTGCAAGAATTGCCTTACGATGAAAGCGCGAAAGGCAATCAACTTGGAAAACCCGACATGCCCACATCTTTCATGTAATCAATGAAGACTCGAACAATTAATAATTAAGTTGGAAGATGATTCTTTTTCAGAAAAACCATCAATCCGTATTTAGATTACACTTTGGCGGAAGCGCTGAAAGAGGTGTTAAGTTTGGTGCAAAATTTGCAGGAAAGCGAAATGCGTATCAAAGAGATGATCATGAAGTACATCGAAGACGAATCGCTTGAAAAGCAATTAAGTAATGTTTAAAATTTGTATTTTTTTTATTTCTATTTTATTCGGATCGCAGTTAAAACTATGGAGAGTCATGAAAGGCTCCTTTTTGAATCGGAAAGACGGGCTTTGCATTTGAGCAGCGAAACTTGGTTGCAGCAATCTGAAATCTACAAGGAACAGAACAACGCTATGCAGAATACGCTTCAATCTGTGGTGCATCAGAATCGAGAACTGCAGGAAGACAACGAAGAGTTGACGAGGAGGAACGAGAAGTTATACATGAAAATTGTGCTGTTGCAGGAGGCAGGATCGCCTATAAATCATCGACCTTCCACAAGTACACTTTCAATACAAAATATGATAACATTTCAAATAATTAATATCTTAACGAATTTAAGTAACTTCAATGCGAATTATAGAGGATTTGAACAAAAATAACGATAAACTTAGATCTAAGTTGAACGTAATGTTCGGGCAGATGCACGATCTCGAAGACACACTGAAGCAGCTCCAGAGGAAAAACGAATTCCTGCAGAAGCAGATTAACAACAACAACTTTCAATTGCAAACTAATAGAAGTGAGTTTGAGTTAAACAACATTGATTACTCTTATTGAGAAAACAAATATTAGGTTCGTTTCAAAAGAGCAAAACTGATCATGATTTGGAATTCGCCAAGCTGAACCATCAACTCAACCTGAAAACGCTTCAAATCAAAGAATCTACTGATGCAGCGCACGTTTTATTGGAGGATTTGGATAACATCAAGGATCAGATCAGTTTAAATAGGAACAAGGTATTTACTTCTTTTTCTTCTTATCTTTCTTTGCATCCTTACCACCTTTACCCTTCTTGCCGCGCTTCTTCTTCCCGAAACGACCCAACTTCTTCCTCACCATAAGCCCTCTCCACCAAGCCTAAAACAAACAACAAAATCAAACAAATCACATCAAATGATAATAAGGAAAATCAACTTGAATTCTGATAGCCGCTTTGGTTTCCCTCTCGAAAATCTCTGCGGCGATCCTACGTTCCTCTCGTATCGCTCCCCAATAGATAACAAACTCTGCGTGCTCTTCGTACATGGCTTTTTGGGCCAAGTAATATTCCATCTGTTGATCCCTTTCCATCCTCATACGCAGCAGTTCTGCATCCCTCACCTCAACCTCCTCTTCATACCGATCCATCCAATATTGAATCTGACTTTGCATATCCTGAAAACAACTGTTTAAATTCCCTTTTCTTCTAAAAACTGTTAACGTCTCACCTCTTGACTCTCCTCGAAGTAACGAACGATGTCAGTATGGATGCGCTTCTGCAGTTCCATCTGCATTTGCGAGTTATTGACGATTTCTTCGAAATGCGCCTCTTTATCCTCGAGCATTATTTTACCTTGATGTTTGCGAGAGTACTCCCATCGCTCCATGTATTTATACTCCAAATTACCATAGCCGATGGATCTCTCGAATTCCAATTCTAATCGCCGCAAAAGCTCCAATTTGTCTTTGTACTGTTTATCCAAGATACCGCCTTGCGTTAAGAGCTTATTCTTCATATCATTCTCCACTTGGATCGTGTAAACATCGTCGTGGAATAACTCATTTTCCTCCCGATAAAGTTTCTTCAAAATGCTCGTACCTTCTACCAAAGAAGCGATTGAATTCAACTTCCAAATATCCTCGATAGTCTTGAATATTACACTGTAGAGAGTGGTCAAATCCAATAAACGTTTCTTAGCTTCGGAATAAAATTCTCCGCCGTAATCAATCTTGTCTCCATACCTAAATATTACATTTACATAGCCTCTTTTCCAACAAGTTACAGTACATACCTTTCTTCAATACTCTTGTATTTCGGGAATTTAAATTCACAAGGCTTCAAATCTTTCTGCGCGATGGCTTTCAATATTGCAACCTTCTCTAATACATCATTCAATATTACCATATCGATCTGACACATCAAATCGTGCTCGAAAGTGTCGAAGTCCTTCTCCGAAGATTCGTGTTCCTCTTCCTTCTCGAAATCCACATTCTCCTCGTCCTCATCATACAAGATCACATCCTCATCCACCTCTTCTCCATTCACGATCCAAGTGATTGTCGCTTTATCCCTTATTTTCGGCATGACGTCTCGCTGTTTTTTTGTTTGTTAGAAACAAGGCACCTTGATCGACATCATACATTTGGGGAGATCGTGCATCACCGAGTTAAGCATGGAATTGGTGAAAACGCAGAACGAGATCAAAGTACAGAAACAAGAAAAGTATAGCTCGAACATTAACGTTTTGTTGTAGAATAATTATAGTTATTTGCAGCGAATTATTGAAGGCGGGAATCGGAAAGCAAGAAACACGAGCCGATGATTGGTTAAAGGAGAAAGAATCGCTAAACGAGACAATCACTAATTACAAAAAGCTCGAAGATGAAGTGCTGAAATTAGAGAAGAAACGCTTAGAATCAGAGTCTATGGTTGCTCAGAAAACTGAATTGATTAATAAAGGGATTTTGGAGTTGGCCAGAAAAGATGAAATTATCAATAATTTGAAGAAGGATATAGAAAGCAATAAATATGATGTGAGTTTGCAATTTTTTCTCAAACAATTCGCAAATTATTATCTTTCTTTAGAATCAAAAAACGGAGAATGTAATAAAGCTTTTGGAGGAGAGGTTGCAGAAGAGCAAAGAGGATAATTCTATTTTGGAGGTGCAAGTGGAGGGATTGAAGACGGTGTTGGCTGCTACTGGATCCGGTGAAATTGCAAGAGAATTGTCGAATATGCAGAGAAAGCTGACCGAGATGAAATCGCAGTATCTGAATGTAAGTATGATTTTGGTATTGAAATATTCCATTTAAAGAAATTTTCAGTTGCTCTCGGTCAAAGATCGATTGGAAAAGCAGGTGGAAACTGATAAAGAAGAGAAGAAAACTCTTGTGGAGTATCAGAAGACCTTTTATGATCAGTTGCAAAATCAACAGAAAGAGATAGATAATCAGGTCAAAAGTATTGCAGCTTTGAATGAGCAGTTGGACAAAGAGAAAAATACTGTTAATGGTATTTTTTCAATTTATTTTAATTCAATCTTATTGATACATATTGATTTTAGCTTTACAGAATGAAAGGATGAAACATTTGCAAGAAAAAACGATTTTAACAGCGATTTCTCAAAAATTGAAGGGAGAAATAACTAAACTGGATCAACTGGAAACGTCGGTTTCTACAAGCAATAAACGTGCCAATAAATTGGCTGTAATTTTACTTTTATAGTCAAAGTAAACACTAGAATTTCATTAATTTAACTTTAGATGATGGCCCAATACAATAAGCAATTAGAGCAGAAACTGCGAGAAGAGGTGGCTGAAAGGGATGATACCATAACTAAACTGAAAACGAATATGGAGCTTCTTCACAATATGCAAATGGAAAATTCGAAAGAAAAGGTTGCTCTGTGCGAAGAACTCAATCAGGTTTTTCACCGGAAAACAGAGCTAGATGGAAAATTGGCCGTGCAATTGGAGAGGAACATGATGTTGAGCGAACATAAGCACGATCAATTGCAGTACGTCACCAATAAAGTAATCATGAATCTTGTAAAACTTTTATGATTATAACGATGATATAATTAATGTTATTTTAGTTGAAAGAAATACAAGAGAATTATGGGAAGGAGAAGATTGAGATGGAGAAGAATATGGAAATGTTTCGCAATGAAAACGAAAAGTTGTTGGAGGAATGCAAAGCTAAAAATGCTTTGGTAAGATTATGTTACTTTTTTGGTTTTTCTTATATAAATGTCTTCTTTTAGATTTTAGAAATGCAAAAGGAGAAAGAAATGCTTATAGCTACAGCTATTGGTATCAAGGACAATAGTTCTCTGTATGAGGCTAAATTGAGAAAAATGCAGTATGATTTTAAGAAAGCTAAGAAAGAGTATGCCAAAACGACGAAAGAGATTAACAATAGATATTTAATGTTAAAAAATACTAATAAGACACTAACTAAAGAAGCATATGACGTAAGGATTTTTTTTAATATATTTAATCAAATTAATGAATTGTATTTTCAAATTAGATTTCAGAAGAAAACCAGAAGCTTAAGAACGACTTTGAGAATGCAAAAATTACCTTGAACCGAGTTTTTATCGAATTAAACGAAGCGAGATCTGTTGAAGAGGTAAATTCAATATTTTTTTTATTCAATTAATAAATGAAACTGTTATTGTTTGTAGACTTATAAAAATACTATAACAGAGAAACAGAGACTTTCGGAGAATCTTCAGAATGATTTGAACGAGAAGAATAACACAATTTCCAGCTTGGAGGAGCAGCAGAATTTGCTCAAGTCCGATCTGACCGAAGTGTGCTGTAATTATGAGAAATTAACAAATGGTAATTTATTATTTTATATTTGAATTTTAATCTTGCTTGAAAATGTGATTATGATTGTTGTGCGTAGAATACAATAAGGTAACGGAAAAACTGAAGCAGTTGAAGGAAAATGATGAAATGGAGGAGATTGTGAACGATCTTAATGTAAGGGATGAGGAGATCTTAGTTCAACAGGAGAGGATTCGGACGTTGGAAATGGAGAACGATAGGCTTGGGGATTACGTGGAGCGCTTTAAAAAAGAAAAAGAGTGAGTTGATGATATTTGTATTATTTCATTTCGTTATATAATGAAACATAATTCGTTATATAACATAAATGACAGTTTTAAAACAGTTAAATAGAACTAGTACTCAAGACAATTATCTGTTTATAACTGTTGATACAACTGGCATACATTTTATGCTTAAGCTATGATTTGATCATTTTAGACAATTTCTTGTAAAATATGCATCTCTTGAAGCTGATTTATTCAAAATGAAAACGATTTATGAGACCACCATTCAACGAAATGCAATTCTTGAGGATCAAGTGGTGAATCTGAAGGAGAAGGAAGCCGATGCATCGAGGGAATTGATTGAAAGGTGTTCTTACTACGAGCAGTCTATTGGTGAACTAAAAAGGTATAAAATTTACATTTTTTTATTCATCATCATTATGTAACATTTGTTCAGCGATTACAAAGCAAAAGCTGAAATTATGGCGTCTGAAATTTGCGACCTGACCAAGAAACTGAGCGATGCGGTGAATTCCTGCGAAATTGAAACATTGGCCAAAGAGAACATGAGGAAAGCTCAAGCAATACTTTTGTTTAATTTAATGATGGCATCGCAGATATTTATCGTGGAAAAGTTCCAGCGGCAGAAGTACGAGGCGACCATCGAGAATCTGGAAAAGGAACGAAACGAAATAACAGAAGATTATGTTGGTGTTGGAGAAAGGATTTTTTAAAATGATGATTTCAGTATTGTTTTCTCTTTTTCAGCAATTGTTGGAGCAAAAGTTGAGTCATATGGAGAAGGAGATGAAGTACGTTTGCACGACCGCTGAGAATATCAAATTAGAGAAAGAGAATACGATGATGATTCTCGAGGAAGCCGAATCTAGGTGTTACAAGGTGGAACAGGAGATTTTGTCTATGAGACCTAATCAATCTGCGGATGGAACCAAGGAAGCATACGAGGAATTGGAGGTTTGTTGTTAAGTTTAATTTAATTTGTAACGTTCATTTGATTTAATGTTTAGAATCGTTTTACGGTGATACAAGATCAATTAGCGCAGAGTCGAGAAGATGCGTCGAAGTTGCAAGAAATCGTTAACAACTTGGAGACGGAGTATGCATGTCTGGAGTTTCAAAAGTATTGATTCGCAGCATCAAATTTGTTATAATTAAATCGATTGATCCTAGGTGTGAATCGGTGTTGCGTTTGCACGAGATTCAAGGGAAATTTCAGACGGAGCAGCAGAGGAACGTTGAATTGCGCGAAAGCGTGCAACGCACTCTCGTAGTGCTCTTGGGAATGTGGGAAGAGGGCAGCATCTCTCAAACGGCGTACAACTCGCTCCTCGACACAATACAGAGCTCTGCATGACCATACCGGGATTTAAACTGCGTCGTTAACCTCAAAATTCTCGAGTATAACATGGAACATGTAAGACCTGAAAAGTACGAGACCGTTCTGTCTCGTATAGACGACGAGTACGAGCAATGTCAGGTGTTGAAGGAGGAAGTAGCCAAGCTAAAGAACCAACTGAAGGCTTTGAAAGTCCTCTCCGACCCAAATTTCGCGCGTGAAAAGCTGTTCAGGGTACAGGTTAAACTGTTCAGCGATATTTTACATATTCGCGATTTGTACTCGGATGTTCCAATAAACGAGATTAGTACTGATGCAAAAGAAAATCTCTATTTTTACTACGTCCAGGTTTACATTCTCCAGCTGTTCCATGAGAAAATTGTTGGTCAAAATTGGCTTATCATTGCTTCCGTTCGTAATCAGCTGAAGAGCACAACGAAGATCATAAGTCTTAAAAACACAATGAAAAATCCTCTGACAATGTTAATACCTTTCGAAAAGACTTCAGACACTTGCGTTGATGTGTTTCTCGTATCGCCCGAAGATGAATCGGATTGGCCCATAATGAAAATCACAACAAAACCAATCAATATTTCTTATAAATTCGAAAGCGTAGACACGAGTTTAACAAAAACGATATTAAATATAAACAAGATTTACAACGGCCAAACGAAATCAGAAAGCAAACAATATTTCAAATACTCGATGAAATCCAATTGGAATAGGGAAACGTTTGTGGAGCGTTTTTTGAAGAATTCATACCACAAGTTAAACTTAGTTAAGGTCTTGAATAAGAACGCGGAGGGTGTCAACTTGGATGTGTACGCGGGAAACGAGAAATGTCTTTTGGAATTTGAGTCTTCCGGTGATCTAACGATTCGTTGTCCTTCCGCAACGACTCTTTACAAATTGAAGAAATTCTTTATGGACAACACTGATATCATTCTTAAGAAACACTTCCACGGAGATTCGCAATCTTTACAGGTTTATAGTCATTAATTGCTGTATTAAAACACTAATAAATTGTTTATTTTCAGATTGCTAAAGATGAACTGGAAGAATACATTCAATTCGATAATGTTAACTTGAACAGTTTCCTCAAGATATACGACCAATACGTTCAATTTATATCTAACTATCCCATATAATGTAAATGTAAAATGTTTGTGATAAATATATTTTATATATTATTTAAATCTCGTTTTTATCTTCAAAACTATTTCACTAATTGCTGATCATTTTCTAAATTGAAATATTTATTTTCCAAATTAAATATAGATTTATTTATTTAATATAATGATTCGTTATATTTAAGGATGATTTAAGTACGTATGATTTAACACGTATTCGCTTGAAAATGTGCGAGGAATTACGACTTGTTACACCAGCAAAACGTTTCCAATCTACTAGAGTGCAATTCTGTGCTAAAGAGGATTTAGCGCATTTATTTTATATAAAAGAAAACATACAACGTGAATTCAATGGCAAATCGATATAATTCTCATACTTATTTCAAAACTCGTTACGTTGCAACTAAAATTGAATTGTATTTTCTTAAGTAACAATTATTATTTATTTATTTTACAATATTATCACTTTTCTTTTCTAATTTTAAATGGGTTAAGGAACCATCAAGGTTTTGTATAGAATAACATAGAAGTTATCGCTTCTCTTGCCAACAACATTCGAACTGATGCAGATACATCCATCTGGTGAAAATGATCTCTCTTTGAAGCGCACATGGAAGAACTCACGAACTAAGAAAACTTAAATAAATCATTGCTTACACATTAGTATTCTTGAATTAAAAGTATTAACATTTTCAATCACAAATTTCCAATTTACGAAAATAAAATTGAAACAATAACAAAAGTCTAAATACTAAAGGACTTTTTGAAAGAGGAAATTCGAAAAAAAATACAAATATTAATACTAATTGTGTTATTACTCATAGTTTACATTTTGTTGAAAAAATAATGATTGAACTATTTCATTTTGCTTGAAATTAAATAATTATTTATAATTGTAAATATCTCAATTACTCGATGACGTTTATTAAGGATTTAAATATCTAAATCTTGACAGTATCAAAATCCCGACAACCGTAATTTCGTATTTGATATAGACTTATAGATACTGTCGGGATTTCGAATGTCAAAATTTCGGTTGTCGGGATTGTCGATCGGCACCGAAGCAATAGTGCGGCAACCGGTCTAATTAATGACTTTAAACCCGCATAAAATATAAATCGTACAAAAAGAGACTTGATAATTTCGAAATCTCGACAGTATCAAAATCCCGACAATCGTAATCCCGACAGTATCTTTTATTATTTGATACAGACTTATTTAGATATGTGACGGGATTTCGAATGGCAAGATTTCGGTTGTCGAGATTTCGATTGGCACCGAAGTAATACCTCGCATAGTGCAGAAACCGGTCTAATCAATGACTTTAAAACTGCATAAAATATAAATCCCACAAAAAGAGACTTGATAATTTAAATATCGAAATCACAACAGTATCAAAATCCCGACAACCGTAATCCCGATAGTATCTTTTATTATTTGATATACACTTATTTAGATATGTGACGGGATTTCGAATGTCAAGATTTCGGTTGTCGAGATTGTCGATCGGCACCGAAGTAATACCTCGCATAGTGCGGAAACCGGTGTAATCAATGACTTTAAAACCACATAAAATATAAATCGCACAAAAAGAGACTTGATAATTTAAATATAGAAATCTCGACAGTATCAAAATCCCGACAACCGTAATCCCGACAATATCTTTTATTATTTGATATAGACTTATTTAGATACTGTCGGGATTTTGAATGTCAATATTTCGGTTGTCGAGATTGTCGATCGGCACCGAAGCAATACTTCGCATAGTGCGGAAACCGGTCTAATTAATGACTTTAAAACCGCATAAAATATAAATCGCACAAAAAGAGACTTGATAATTTAAATATCGAAATCTCGACAGTATCAAAATCCCGACAACCTTAATCCCGACAGTATCTTTTATTATTTGATATAGACTTATTTAGATACTGTCGGGATTTCGAATGTCAAGATATCAGTAGTCGAGATTGTCGATCGGTACCGAAGCAATACCTCGCATAGTGCGGAAACCGGTCTAATCAATGACTTTAAAACCGCATAAAATATAAATCGCACATAAAGAGACTTGATAATTTAAATATCGAAATCTCGACAATATCAAAATCCCGAATACCTGACAGTATCATTTATTATTTGATATAGACTTATTTAGATATGTGACGGGATTTCGAATGTCAAGATTTCGGTTGTCGAGATTGTCGATCGGCACCGAAGTAATACCTCGCATAGTGCGAAAACCGGTCTAATTAATGACTTTCAAACCGCATCAAATATAAATCGCACAAAAAGAGACTTGATAATTTAAATATCGAAATCTCGACAATATCAAAATCCCGAATACCTGACAGTATCATTTATTATTTGATATAGACTTATTTAGATATTGTCGGGATTTCGAATGTCAAGATTTCGGTTGTCGAGATTGTCGATCGGCACCGAAGTAATACCTCGCATAGTGCGGAAACAGGTTTAATCAATGACTTTAAAACCGCATAAAATATAAATCGCACAAAAAGAGACTTGATAATTTAAATATCGAAATCTCGAAAGTATCAAAATCCTGACAACCTTAATCACGACAGTATTTTTTATTATTTGATACAGACTTATTTAGATATGTGACGGGATTTCGAATGTCAAGATTTCGGTTTGTCGAGATTGTCGATCGGCACCGAAGTAATACCTCGCATAGTGCGGAAACAGGTTTAATCATTGACTTTAAAACCGCATAAAATATAAATCGCACAAAAAGAGACTTGATAATTTAAATATCGAAATCTCGACAGTATCAAAATCCTTGATTCTTGAGTTTGTGGTATTAGAGAGAAAGAGCGCGCGTCCGTGATTTTCAGTAAACAAAATCGATGATCGAGTTTCAGGTGAAACTCATAAAGTATCATAATGCTGGTTCGTTACAACATATGCACCTTGTGGAAATAACGACGGATCGAATTTAATGCCTACCGTACAGACGAAGGAAGATAACAGACATATGCATCATGCATGGTTGGACATCATCATGCATGGTGGTTGAACTACAGGAATAGTTTCGTTTTGGTCAGTTTAATGCCGCCACTCGTCCAAACAGCGTCGACGTTATTTCGCGCGTGAAACGAAAATCTCACTTCGAAACTTTCTAACTTGTGCATTTATAAATAACAACATAAACATTCAGTGTAAAATCAACACAACAACAACAACAATATGGGTACAAATCTTTACAAGATGTTAGCAGCTTTCCTCCTCATCCTCATCACAACAGGTAAGATAAACTGATTTGAAAACCTTGAGAAACTTTAAACAAACAAACTTTAACGCAAGTTCAATTGAATCAAATAAATAAAAAAAAATCAGATTTTTAATTCATTTTCTTTTAGCTGTTAGCTGTTTAATATGAATAAATTTAACTAATTGCTAATTATTATAAATAAATTAATGCAAATTCATCATTTTACATCAAGTAAACAAAATAATGTGTACACACATACAAATTGATGAATTGAACAAAAGTACGTTTGAATTGTTTAAAATTATTTGCAAATGCAAATAATTTTAGATGTGATTTAATAAATGTGCGTTAAGTAATAAAACAAAGTGTACACGCATTGTGTGTGCGCTTTGAGTTAGAGTGAGAAAGATACAGACGTAACTGAGGCAAGGACGATCGAAACTATTTTTGTTTAAAGTAAATTTAAACGCAGCAATATCTTTTTTTTGTTTCTTCTTCTTCGTAAATTGAAAATAACACGCGGAAGAATACGAAAATAACCTCCTGTATTAACGGAGCGCCGCAATTTTATGTTTTTAAATTGTTTACTTTTTGTTATTGCTGTTTCTTTTAATTGCTTTTGGAGTGATAAGAATTAGAAAGATGATGATGGACCTTGAGATGTTTAATTAGACCTGTCGTCAGATTTATATAGGAGGATGGCGACGCGGGAGATGAAATAAATTTAGAAATATGGTTATTGGTGGATCCGAAGTGTGACCTAAATACGAAATACCGGGATCTCCTTCTGCATCATTTATTCAACTTAAAGTGCAATTAAATATAGATATATGTGTGTATGTGTTTGAAGTAAATGAGTCGTAATGAGCGGATGCAGCACCTTGTAAAAGACACATCTTCTCTGCATGCGGGTTTTTCTTTCTAATTGAATATCGAGTGGACGACGGTGAGTCCTCTAATTGGATGGTTAAATTGTTTTGAAATGCGAGGTAAATGAAAATTCTTCGTGCGCTCTCTCACTTTGTCTCTCCCTTTTTGTGAATCAACTAGAAGCAATACGGAGCGAATGTTTTAACGGATGTCGGAGTTCATGTTTCCGGCGGCACGTGCTGGTGTGTAACGTGTGCCAGGTAGAGACGGAAGTGGTATGAGCGCAAGCAAGCAAACCTTCGGAAGGGCGCAGAGCTCGGAACTCCTTCAAGATCAACAGATGGGCGAAATCGGCGAGCCGTGACTGAATTTCCGACCCGGACTTTATGAAGCACCCGTCCCGTTCCGCATTTCTCCTAGAACCAAATATATACACACAACTTTCTTAATTATATATTATTTTATAAGAAAGTCGAAAGAAAACTCAAAATTAGATCATTTTGTTTCCCCCAGAAAATCATTGAATTTTATTACAAACCAATTTATGTGAAAATTGTGTAAAAAAACATTATTTCAGTTGATTCTGCAATATTCTGATAAATTAAATATCTTTCATTAATTAATTGTCATTATTTTCTGATTTTTGTAGACTCTAATTATATTTTTTTCCATCCATAAAAAGCAATTGTTGAAACAAATAATTTTTTACTTAATTTCCACCAAGAAAAGAAATTATTTTTAAGCAATTTTAACACAAGTTCAATATGATTAATTAATTTTTTGTTGATTTTAAAATTTTATAGATTTTTTGTTAAATATGGTTAAAAATCATTGAAAGTTAAACGCAAAATGTAAGAAAATCATTTCATTATTTATATTTCTATACTTTTGACTTTAATTCAGTAATTTAACATTGTTTAGAGAACCATTGAAAATCTTGTTGAAAATGAAAAGAAAATTCAATTATTTCATTATATTTCGTATTCTGTTGAACATTAAAAAATGATCAACAAGTTAGATTTAAATGATTTCCTTGTTTATTTATCATAGTTTAATAGTTGTGTTTGTACAATTTATTTAAACAAAATATAAAAATCCAAGGTTTTTAAAAGTCATTTCATCTAATATATTAACTGTAATTGCTTTTTGTTACTACATAGATTGCTTTTTTACATTATGATGAACAGAATTAGTTAGAAGAATCTTTACTACATTTTCAAAGATTTCAAATTATTTGTAAGCAAAAAAGTTCTTGTTTTTGTTTTTACATATTTAATCCATCTCAATAATATACAATGATTAAGAACATTTCTTTCATTTAATATAATTTCTGAAACTCAAATTTAATTCATTTTTCAAATTGTAAAATGTGCTTCAATAAGTATTTATTTTTAATTTTTATTATCCAAATTTATATCATTAATCATTAAGAAACTATTAGTTCTTATTTTGTTTATACTAATGATGCACACATATCTAATTTTGAAAGTAATACTCTTTTTTTTTTTTCATTAATTTTAATAATTGGTGATTTTACTTCACTTAAAATCTATCTGCCAAATAGTCAATCACCTTCAATCACATTTCATCTTCTAATTTTAGAACCTAATGATGTTTACGCTTATATTAGAAGAAAAAAATATTAGTTCACAAAAAATCGAAACCATAATTCCTTTGCATGCAAAAACCAAAAATTTGTGGTTGCTAGAATTGTGTAAGAAAATAATCTTAAATTTCATTTCTCCTAATTATTTATGCGAAACATTGATCTAGAATCTAGAGTTTAGACCAAAAATGATTATCAACAGGTGTCCTAAGGCCAGCTCAGCTAGTACAAAAACCTAGCGTAGAGCAAAAGGGCAAATTCTGGCTTGATCCCAATGTTCAGCGGGACCTATCGATCCTTTTGGCTTTAATGAGTATAAATTCTAGACCAATGTTTTGCAACCTTTCTTATACCATCCCCATCTAAGCCTTTCTAAAATTCCTATGACCCCCTATGTAACATATACATAATTCGACATTCGGTTAAACTCAGGGCGTGGGCCCCACGTTGTGAAACACTGGTCTAATCTCTATAGATTTGTTGCACCACTAAAGCCTTTCTATAACTCTATACACTACGAGTCCATTTTCGAATGGCGCGGGCCCCACGTTGGGAAACACTGCTTTAGACCTAAGGTCTTTCTGTGCGATTTAATGGAGAAAATAGTCAAAGTTTGAAAATAACTACCTTCGAGTAATTCAGTACACATAAATGTTTTAATTCATGAAAAATGAATAAACTAATACTTTTGTCTTCGAAAATTCTTTCAAATCCTTGACTGAACAATTGAAGATGTTATCAGTTTGAGGATCGCTACACCAAAGTAAATGAAAGCAAAAACAAACAAAACAAATACAAATACAAGTTCTTCCGAGTTACCTTAGAGTAATTGAGTATACATAAATACAGTATAATTGATAAACAAATATAAATACAGTTTTAATGAATGAAAAATGAATGAACTAATTCTTTCAAATTCTTGACTGAACAACTGAAGACGCTTGAACAATGTTATCCATACAGTTTGAAGATCGCTACACCAAAGTAAATGAAAGCAAAACAAACAAACAAAAACCGTTCGTCCAAATACAAAAGTCCTTCCGAGCTCCACGAAAGCGGCGGATTCAATTTTAGGAATGAGATAATTGAAATTTTTGAATCGTCCATTGGCTCCACGCCTGAAATGCAAAATACTTATGTAAATAGACAATCTCCGGCGTCGCTATTTATAACGTAATTGATGGTGTGCCTCTCCGTCTTTTTACCTCGGTTAATCTTATCTTTAAAGGAAAAAAAACGCGTCCTTACGCATCGACTGATTCACACATTTAAAAATAAAATATTTCAGCATCAATAATGCTATTTACAAATTCAAACAATACCTCCCACAGTGCGGATTACCTTCAAAACAACCTCAATTTTAATTGAGCAAAAGTCCGATTTCAAACAGATATATTGTTGTAATTATTTATTGTTTCATTTATAGCATTTTCGATAATTTATCGTTTTGTGCTCGATCTAAATATAGAATTCATGAAAGCATTCCTTTCGTTGAAATCAAATTCGCCAATGTGATTTTCGTTGTCAACGCTCAAGATGATATTTTTTTTTCATCCTGAGAAAACACATTTGAATGTTGCTTTATGAAATGTTGAAGTTGCAAAATGTTTATTCCTTTTGATGTTTTTTGATCGAATTGCGAAAATAAATTGTTTGTGAAACGTTCTTCTCAAAAAAAAAAATAAGAAAATGTTACCTTCAATGTATAAATAAATCCAAGAATTTATATTTCTAAATTACGTTCTCATCGTACACTTATATACTAATATTGTCTTAGTAAACAATAAAACGATTCATATTTTATGTTCAAAATATTTTTGAAATAATAATAATTCTTATTATTTATAAAAAGTTAAATGGAATTATGAAACTTTTATGAAGTGATAATAAATTTAGATTATTACGTGCATATTTTGATAATTATCTATGATCTACAACAATATTATGAAATTATGATATTTGGGGAATATAACGTGTATTTAAGTATTGCCAAAAGGATCCAAAAGTTACATCCATTTGGCTTAAATTTGCTTTTAAAAAAATGAAGCAATGTAAAATTAACGCTCTAAAAGCAGTGTTTTACATTTTAACGATTTACTCGGAAAGTATAATAGATAGATTGGATCCAAAAGGTGCATATTAAAGTTGAATATTTGGGAAATATAAAGTGTATTCCATTATTATAGTAGTTACATCCATTTGGCTTAAATTCGCGTTCAAAAAATGAAGCCATGTAAAATTAACGCTCGAAAAACAGTGTTTTACATTTCAGCGATTTACTCGGAAACTATAATAGATAAAATGGTTCAAAAAGAAGCATATTAAAGTTGAATATTTGGGAAATGAAACGTGCATTCCATTATTGCAGTAGTTACATATATTTGGCTTAAATTCTCGTTTAAAAAATGAAGCAATGTAAAAATAACGCTCGAAAAACAGTGTTTACACATTTCAACGATTTACTCGGAATCTATAATAGATGGAATGGATCAAAAAGAATCATATTAAAGTTAAATGTTTGGGGAAATGTAACGTGTATTCCATTATTGTAGCAATT